GGAGTGTTATAAATTTCGAATGTCCCTAATTAATCACTTTTGGGTTCGCTTATTTCATATTCCTTGCCAATATGCCATGATTTGAACATGAAGACTGGAACTTTTTTCCTGTTAATGTGGTGAGTTGACCAGCCAATACGATCAGTCAAATTGACACCTACCGTCTTGTGACTTTGACCTTTACAGTCAGAAGGGCGTTAAACATTCCATGGCACCCTTTATGGTGCACATGGATGAAAATTTATCACTGGTTACGCGAGCAATGAACCGCGAACCACCCCGGACAAACGGGTCCTCCTTGTCACATAGTGCACCATTCGCAGATTGCGTAATATTTTTGTCACGCCTCTGAAAATTTGGGAAATGCAGTATTGTAATTCTTTTGATAAAGGCTGGTATATTCGACAGCATAAATATTATGTTTTAGGTATGATAAGAGACGTCCATAAGGGAAAAATAAAAGTTCACCTCACACTACTTCTGATGTGGATGAGAATGGCAAGTGGAGAAAATGCACCGCCTCAATACCGTGAAAAATGGCGACCACAATATCACTATACTCCTCCAAAGAACTTTATGAACGACCCTAGCGGACTAGTTGCATTCGATGGTCTATATCATTTATTTTATATATACGACCCTAGCGGTAAGTACATACACATAGCTTTTACCCATCAGCAGTACAATGTACGTATTTTAAATGAGCAAAATGGATTTTAATTATGCTATCGTATTTTATTTTATCGACAAATCAAATCAATTTGTATTTTATGCTTTTATGTATAAATATGGCTTAAATTATTATTATTATTATATTGAAATGACATCGATATATTAAAGCTACTCTATGGCCACATTCACAACAAAGTTGACAGATCCGTGGATCCAATATAGCCGGACCACTTGAAAGTTTGCTGCATTATTCCCTAATAAACACTAAATAGATACCCCTCAGGATAATGCAGCAACCTTTCAAGTGGATCGGACATATTTGATCCGCGGATCTGTTTGTCCGTGGACCAACTTTGTTTTGAATGCGGTCTATACGGGATTTACCAGCCAAAATGAATTTTCCACAAGGGGGGAGGGAGAGGAGAGGGGGGAGGATTATTTTTGTCTCACGAATCCTTGCTTGACGCATCCTTGCACTTGGATTCGAACCTTTGTTTTTCATTTTTGATTAATTTAACGATTTAAACAGGCGCTTGTATTTGAAGGGTTTCAGAGTTTTGAAGGTGTGACTTGGAAAAAATCGAAAGCTAAGCAGACAGACGCTTAAGCCGACTAATTTGACTGTAATCTAGTGAGACTCCCCACAGGGATAGATCGATCTAAAATCTGTGGGAATGGGGTCTAAAGCACGGGGATAAAAATATATGTACATATGTCTTTAGCTATAGGTCCAGTGCAGTACAGCAGCTGGGGTCATGCCGTCAGCACTGATCTCGTTCACTGGGAAACTTGGCCTCTTGCTCTCCCGGAGACTGCCGGGGTGTTGGTCTTCAGTGGCAGTGCAGTGGCTGACATTCACAACACCACCGGATTTTGCACCAATGACACCGTAGCCTTGATTGCAATTTTCACTGGCCATCATCCGTAAGTACTATTTGATAACGAATACTTTTCACCCAGCAGTTTTCCTTATTACTGTTTTTGCCGTAGGCCATTCATTATATGCACTAGACTGCATATACAGTATGACGCTTGTTTTTTTTTCTTTTTTTTTTTTTAAACAAAACAACCCGAAATAAACGTAGCGGATGCGGTATAGATATAAGTACGTGTATATTAGCTGTAAATTATTTGTGAAATATATTGTGCCTGTGAAGAACACACTGGACAGCCGTAAAATGGTCTTCATCCTTTTGTTATTATTATTATTATTATTATTATTATTTTATGATTATTTTTAAAATCATTATTATTATTTGTGCACCGGTTATTTGTTATAAGGGCATCGGATCTATCTGGACAAGGGTTGGCTTACAGCTTGGATGGCGGTGTGAAGTGGACGTATTATGACAGAAATCCTGTGTTAGACGTAGGCACGACTCACTTTCGAGACCCCAAAGTATTTTGGCACGAGCCAACAAAACGATGGGTTATGGCGGTAGCACAAGCTATGGGAAAAAACAGAGCTATCCGTCTGTTTTCATCCCCAGACCTTAAGAATTGGACTTACTTGAGTGAAAAGAATCAGCAAGGTTTGATTGCCACCAATGAAGTGGAGACCCCAAACCTTTTTGAATTAAGGGTGACAGTAGAAAACACAACCAAGTGGGTTTTGGCGGTCATTACGGGAAAAGGATCGCGTCCCCGCCGTTCAGTGATGTACTGGATTGGTAGGATGTACAAGCTTTTATTTTATATCTCATATATTCATTTATCATATTGATGTAGATTTACAGGTAGATTGGGGGTGCAACTATGGGGGCAAATGTTTTTCCATTTTTCGATTTTTAATGCACTCCTACTGTTTAAGGTAGTTGAAATGCACAGCGGGGGTGTTTGCTTTACTATGCTGAATAATAGAAATCCGCTTTAAATAAAAAATCCTAGTGGCCCTTTGCTACAGACAAGAAGCGGCAAAGTGTATAACTTATGAGTATCCTGGTATTCACAAATTATAATCTTCATGGATGAAGATTTGCTTAAATTTGATATAAATCGCTTTCTCATAAAAGAAAATTATAGCATAAGGATCATGGCATTATCGCTTCATAATTGTCATCATTTATTATTTAGGTAACTTTGATGGAAAGCAGTTTGTTCCTGACGATATAAAAGCCAGATTTGTGGACTTTGGCTACGACTTCCAAGCCTTTCAAACCTGGAACAATTATGTGGATGATCGAGTGTTGATGATAGGATGGATGTGGTAAGACTTAAATATTGAAGGAATAAATATATGGACCATTCCCAGACCATATCGTGTTAACTTTGGATCGATCTATCTCTGAGGGGATTTTCGCTAAATTGCAATCAACTTAAGCTTAGATGTGTGTCACTCCTACTAATGCTAGGATGTAATCAATTATCGTTTAGCAGCTTCAGTAGGCGTACCAGTCATCTAAGCAGCTTAAGCTGATAGCAATTTAGCGAGAACCCCCTTGGAGATGGACCGATCCTGTTAAATCGAACTAGGTATGGGAAACCTAGTCTTACGACCAGAAAAGAGTTGGTTAATGTCGTCATTTCAGAGGGAAAATCCTCGCCGGTTACAGCACAGGAGCGTGCACTGCATTAGGCTGAGAAATATTTGTTAATTGCTTGTAAAAAAAAAAAAAGCACTCCATGTGGTCCCTGGTAGAGGTTAGTGTAAAACCATATCCTGACTCCCCAGTCAATACCGGAGTATTTTACCATCAGAGTTTTTGCCATTTGAAATTAATCAAGAATCCGATCTGAAAGCTCTTTACCCAATCGGGTTTAATTACGTTTTTTTGGGAACAGTATTTGCAATTAGACAAATACGAGAAAACGCATTTTGCAATCCAAACAATTTTTGTAGTCATTGAAAGGGGATTCAACCTTTAAGATTTTATTAATCAACGAGTTAAAGTAAAATTCATTTATTTACTATTTATATATTATCACCCAGGGTGTTTATTTACTTTTTACAATAATACGTTTGTAAAACACTTTGTGTCTAATTGGGTTCAGATAAAATTTTTGCTGCTTTTAAGTAAACTGATCGATTCATTTTATTCAATTTATTCGATAGTTTGTGTTTTCAACTAACTGTTTAAAGATAAAAGATAATATGATGCGAAATTTACATGCGAAATTAACATGAAGTATCCAACTCTTTCGTTTTGGTCACATTTTTTTTTTTTTTTTTTGAGAAATTGCAATCAAAAAAAATTTTTTTCATCGTACATGTAGATCACTTAGATATTCATGTCTCGTTTTTGGTTTCAAAATACGCTTTTCCTTTTAGAGTTGCATCGTGCAATCGAACGCATTTTGCAACTGGTTTAGCAATAATTGCATTCATTCCTGCCAACTCTTGGAACACAAACTATGGTGCCTGTACAACTGGCCATTTGAAATCATGACGTGAAAGTGCGGCTCACTTAATGTAAATTTTCAAAAAGATAAAAGACATGTTTGGCATATATTTATTTTGCATATAGTTTGTAAGCAATGTTACAGTCATACCTTCTTGAATGAAAATAATTTAAAGCAAAAAGCTTTAAAATATGTTAACCCTGTCCTCACCGTATGTGTAATTGTATTATCCATTTTATAGCGTTTTAAAAATTGTAAATAACTGTATATGCTTGGAAATAGTGCTTACAATTTTGATAGTCTGCTTAATTGTGCAAATCTTCTGAGAAAAGAAAGAAGCAAAGTTGTCAGATTGAAGTAAAACATTGTTGTTTGATTGTCATGTAGCGTGTGGGACTACTGTGGACTAGTGCCAACCCAACCTTGGAAGGGAGCCCAGTCTCTGGTGCGAGAGCTTTCACTGGAAAGGGAGGCTTCTGCCATTATTCTTGTTCAGAAACCAGTCAAACAAATGGAAAAGTTAAGGTCTGCGCTGCAGCTGGAATTGGACAAGACCGATACACTAACTGTAAGTGATGAAAACTCACTAGGCTCTAAGGGAGCGTTCAGATAAACCCATCGTGTTAGCTGGATCAACCCAACTCTGCGGGATATTCTCCCTATTTGCACCCATTTTAATCGGCTTAAATGTCTGACACGCCTCCTCGAGTTGCTAGGGGTAATTAACTAATTAACTAGCTACACAAGGAGGCGTGTCAGACAATGAACCTCGTTACACTGAATGCACTGTAGCGAGAATCCCCCGCGGAGTTGGATCGATCTAGCTGGTGCTATGTTTGAATCTGAACGCAGTGCAAGGTGACTTATGAGACATTGGCAAGGCATATTGTGTAACTACATGTATTTGAGAACCTGTGTTGAAACCATACCAACCTTCTATTGAGTAAATACATGTAATCCATACGTAATGGGGACTCCGAGTATTTTACTGCTTTTAAACACTGTCAGCCTGATGAAGTTAACTATGTCATTTAATTAGTTTAAAGACATATGTGAAACAGAACTAGTTTGAAAATGTAAACATGTGCTTCAAACACAGCGGGTGAGAACCTAAGATTCCATTTATTAAATTTTTATTTTATTCTATTTTAGGCCAGGAAGATGTTTAGAACAAATAAAGTTCGAGGACGGTCCCTAGAAATAAAAGTAGAATTGAAGCCTCATGCAAAGACAAAGAAAGTAGGCTTTCAGATAAGATCAGGAGAAAAAGAAGAAACGATAGTTTGTTACGATCACTTTAAAGAGGCGGTGTACATTGACAGAGCTAAAAGTGGCATTATTCATAAGAAAATGAGTCTGGTAGACTCCGCTAATGTCGTCCTTCAAAATGGCACATTGAAACTGTGGATATTTCTAGACTGGTCCTCCGTTGAAGTCTTCGTGAATGACGGACGACAGGTGATCACGAATCTCATTTTTCCTCAGAACGATAGCAGTGATGAAGTAGATATATTCTGTTTAGGCCATGAAGCCGAGGTGGTGAGCCTGAAGATATACGAATTAAATACTACGTGGGAGAAATACTGGAACAACAACACATGGGGTGGGCTTACTGACAACTTGAAGAAAGTTCATATATTTAAGATGAACAGTATAAAAACCCATTCTAATTTAACAGAAGTCAGTGACAGTAACTACTTGTGGATTTTCATAAGCGTATTAATTGTCTGTTACGGGCTTTTGCTAAACCTGCTATGCAGATCATTTTCCAGATATTTCTGATGAAATAAAACAATGCAGGTAGTGTATCATAATAAAACAGACTGTGTCATGGATGTTCTTAAAGGCCAAAGTGACGGAGAAAAGCGTTTCAAAATCGGAAACTAAGTTGCGTTTTCAAACGGTTCAAATAACTTCTTTCGCCATTGAGAGCAAACAGTGGTTATACACCGATGTTGTCGCCTGGCGGGACGGTTGAGGTGGGCGATCGAGGTCACCCTGACGATGGGCTAATACCTTCAATGGATCGACGTCGGCCCAACTTTGGGCCCCTGGGGTTGTACTAGCTAGCATAATTTATTGCGTGCAAGCCTTTTTATTAACCTGTTAGTAAAAACTAGTCGACTGTATGTTATTTTATATAACCCCTGGAATCTCTTTCTCTACTTGTGACCGTAGTAAACTTTTTGAAAAGTTTATCTTTGTTTTGCTGCAGAATTATGGGCTGATAACAATTTTTGTATAACGCTCTAAGTATTGAAACAAACTTTTATCAAAATTCGTAAAGAAATATTTCACTAGATTTATGATTTGATTTTCCTTTTTTTCGGGTCAATTTGTAACGTTTTTATTTTAATAAGTTAAAACTCGCACAAATTTAAATAATTGTAGCAAGTCACTCTAGTTTTAGCTTAAATCAGCTCAACTCAACTCTCAATATGCCACGTGAGTAACTTTGCAATTTGTAACAAAAGAGTATTTTTACTACTACATACTGTATATTATCCACCACACTGATAAAACCTTTTTAAAACATCTTTATCCTCCCATCCGTATGACCCGGGCGCTGTGACGGTGGCTTAGCTAGGGCAAATGCACACTAAAAACAACTTATTTCATTCACAGTTAAGTTTTTTATTGTGTTCTTTGAAGTGTTCCTAGAAAGACTCCATCAACATTTCAAATTAGCATTAAATATTTTTCTTTATCAGAAACTTAATTGGAATTGAGTTTGCCGCCGCCAGCTTTCTCGCAAATGAACCCCATTTCACCAGTGCATTGGAAGTCATCCCAGTAGTAGGTAAATGGCTTATATAGACAGAGACAACGCTGGCGTGAGGGACTATCCGGCTGCCCAGGGTTCCACCTCGTGTAGCTGATGATAGAACGACTGGTAGATTGCCACTCCCATTGTCCTTCCTGGACCAACGAACCACTAGTCCAGTAACCAGACAGTTTAGAAGAGGCTGTAAAATAAGGATCACAGGTTATTCTTTGTTTCACCGGGTACTTCGGTCTTGTAATTGTGTTTTTTTTTTAGTAAGTTCTGCTATCCACCATTACGCCAGTAGTCATATTATAAGGATTTTGAGATGTCGAGAAGATTCACTTAATTTACAGTCAAACTTTGACCAATTAATCGCTTGGACAATGTGTTCCAAACATGCTAATTGTTTCGTTCATACTGTATGTAAATCAATTTTCGCGTGAAAAGATGTTGACATGTAGCGATTTCCTTACGGATTTTATACATTAGGTTAATTTGGCAAAATCAACTATAATTCAATTAATTTTTTTCAACATTACTGTATTTGATGTTGCTAACGACTTGATAGTTTTTATTCAGAATACAGGTAGGCCTACACTGTACTTTAAGGTGACTCCGGCCAAAAGACCAATTCTTAGACCCGCTTTGAGACCAACATACAATGTAAGAGTCCATTCACAACCAGTTGAGCCCCGGACTAACTAGACAGCATGTGCCTTGGTGTGGTTGCTGGGACGACGCGTGTGAGGTGATCATTGAGCGTCAAATTTGATTCACGGACAAGTTAGTCCCCGGCTCAGCTGGTTGTGAATGCTCTCTAAGTGCCTCTTACCTGACATGGACAGGATCTGGTTGTAGATGAAGTTGTCTTCTGCATAGGTTTCTATGGCAACAAGATCAGCACCCAAATTCTGGCATTCCTGTCTCGCTGCATCCCATGACTTCTTAATCGTGCCAAAGAAATAGCAATTCTTGTCAAACTGTATAAATCTGGAGTCACAGCTTCGACCGCCTAGAAACAAAAGACAATGAGACAGTGAGAGAAGCTAGAAATTTACAAACAAATTGATCTGCTATATCAGTGAAATAATTATTATTATTTTTGGATTACTGCTTTAAAGCCTGCTTTTCCTAAAGGCAAATAAATTTTTAAAAAGTAAGAAGCAGTGTAAAAGTGCTGGTGTCCTACTACTTCTGAACCTAAACCGGTATCTTCGCCAGTTAAAAGTGATAATTTTATATTTTTCTTACCTCTCACACTTTGCGCAGCCAAAGTCAGACCTACAATCAACAGCAAAACGTAATTCCAAGGCATCATATCTTTCTCCAGTAAACCCAAAACAGCCTGCTTCTTGGTTTAATTCTTACGTTATTGACAGGTGTCTGTGGCAAGTCTGTTGCAAGTGGATTGCTCTGAGTCAGTTTATAAGCGGTACCAGGGATATGTGTTCAATTATGATTGGCTACAAATATAGAATGACATACAAGCCATTTCAAAATTTAATTAACTGAACGGTAATAATAAATGATACAATCAGATGGTGCTACCACCCACTTTTATCAGGCTACAGAATTTGAATGCTTTGGGTTGCACACTTTTAGATTGATATGTCAATAATAAACGACCCAATCTTGATGTCAAAGCTGATTTCCTTAAAATTTCAGTGGATGTGTCCACATAATTATTTTGGATTAGAAAATATGAATGCTTTGGGTTGCACACTTTTAGATTGAAATATCAAAAATAGATAATAAATTCTGTAGCCTGAAAAAAGCCTGCTGTAGCACCACCTAATTGTATCATTTATTATTACCGTTCAGTTAATTAAATTTTGTAATGAAAATCCAAATATAGCAGTTATGTAAAAAGTCTGTGGTAGCACCATCTGTTTGTATCATATTTATTATTAACGTTCAGTTAATTAAATTTTGTAATGAAAATCCAAAGATAGCAGTTATGTAAAAAGTCTGTGGTAGCACCATCTGATTGTATCATATTTATTTTTAACGTTCAGTTAATTAAATTTTGTAATGAAAATCCAAATATAGCGGTTATGTAAACAGTTTCATTATTATTGTTCCTCGTGATTTCTTGGAAATAAAGCCTGTTCAGCAGATTTCTCAAACTATGCCAACCTAAAAATGGACAAAAAAGAAAAAAAAAAGCTTGGTATAATTGTAGCTTTTCTACCATGTAGTATGAAGATCACTCTACCAATTCTAATATTAAATAAAATACGACTAAAAGTTTAGTTTTACTCCAACAATCATCTTGACTCGAAAAGTCAAAAACGCAAAAAGTCGAAAACTCGAAATATCCAATAGGGGCCACCATATAATTGTGCAAATCTTATGAGAAAAAGAAATGAAGCAAAGTTGTCAGATTGAAGTAAAACCCGGCTGTTTGATTGTCATGTAGCGTGTGGGACTACTGTGGACTAGTGCCAACCCAACCTTGGAAGGGAGCTCAGTCTCTGGTGCGAGAGCTTTCACTGGAAAGGGAGGCTTCTGCCATCATTCTTGTGCAGAAACCAGTCAAACAAATGGAAAACTTAAGGTCTGCGCTGAAGCTGGAATTGGACAAGACTGATATACTAACTGTAAGTGATGGAAACTCACTAGGCTCTAAGGGAGCGTTCAGATAAATCCACCGTGCTAGTTGGAACGTTGCAACTCTGCGGTATATTCTCCCTAATTGCACCCACTTTAATCGGCTTAAATGTCTGACACGCCTCCTCGAGTTGCTAGGGGTAATTAACTAATTCACTAGCTACTCAAGGAGGCGTGTCAGACAATGAACCTCGTTACACTGAATGTACTGTAGCGAGAATCCCCCGCGGAGTTGGATCGATCTAGCTGGTGCTATGTTTGAATCTGAACGCAGTGTAAGATGACTTATGAGACATTTGCAAGGTATATTGTGTAACTACATGTATTTGAGAACCTGTGGTGAAACCAAACCAACCTTCTATTGAGTAAATACATGTAGTCTATGAGTAATGGGGACTCCGAGTATTTTACTGCTTTTAAACACTGTCAGCCTGATGAAGTTAACTATGTCATTTAATAAGTTTAAAGACATATGTGAAACAGAACTAGTTTGAAAATGTAAACATGTGCTTCAAACACAGCGGGTGAGAACCTAAGATTCCATTTATTAAATTTTTATTTAATTCTATTTTAGGCCAGGAAGATGTTTAGAACCAATAAAGTTTGAGGACGGTCCCTAGAAATAAAAGTAGAATTGAAGCCTCATGCAAAGACAAAGAAAGTAGGCTTTCAGATAAGATCAGGAGAGAAAGAACAAACGATTGTTTGTTACGATCACTTTAAAGAGGCGGTGTACATTGACAGAGCTAAAAGTGGCATTATTCATAAGAAAATGAGTCTGGTAGACTCCTCTAATGTCCTCCTTCAAAATGGCACATTGAAACTGTGGATATTTCTAGACTGGTCCTCCGTTGAAGTCTTCGTGAATGACGGATGACAGGTGATCACGAATCTCATTTTTTCTCAAAACGATAGCAGTGATGAAGTAGATATATTCTGTTTAGGTCACGAAGCCGAGGTGGTGAGCCTGAAGATATATGAAATACTACGTGGGAGAAATACTGGAACAACAACAAATGGGATGGTCTTACTGACAACTTGAAGAAAGTTCATATATTTAAGATGAACAGTATTGAAGCCCATTCTAATTTAACAGAAGTCAGTGACAGTAATTACTTGTGGATTTTCATAAGCGTATTAATTGTCTGTTACGGGCTTTTGCTAAACCTGCTATGCAGATCATTTTCCAGATATTTCTGATGAAATAAAACAATGCAGGTAGTGTATCATAATAAAACGGACTGTGTCATGGATGTTCTTAAAGGCCAAAGTGACGGAGAAAAGCGTTTCAAAATCGGAAACTAAGTTGCGTTTTCAAACGGTTCAAATAACATCTTTCGCCCTTGAGAGCAAACAGTGGTTACACCGATGTTGTCGCCTGGCGGGTCGGTTGAGGTGGGCGATCGAGGTCACCCTGACGATGGGCTAATACCTTCAATGGATCGACGTCGGCCCAACTTTGGGCCCCTGGGGTTGTACTAGCTAGCATAATTTATTGCGGGCAAGCCTTTTTATTAACCTGTTAGTTAAAACTAGTCGACTGTATGTTATTTATAATAACCCCTGGAATCTCTTTCTCTACTTGTGACCGTAGTAAACTTCGTGAAAAGTTTATCTTTGTTTTTCTGCAGTATTATGGGGTAATAACAATTTTTGTAAGTATAACGCTCTACGGATTGAAAGAAACTTTATCATAATTCTTAAAGAAATATTTCACTAGATTTATGATTTGATTTTCCTTTTTTTCGGGTCAATTTGTAACGTTTTTATTTTAATAAGTTAAAACTCGCACAAATATAAATAATTGTAGCAAGTCACTCTAGTTTTAGCTTAAATCAATAGTTAAACCTGCTGGTATGTGATTTACTTGAGTGCCCATGCGTATCTAAAAACATTGATTCCATATGAAATATGTATTTTAATGTATTAAATTTGGGATCATTGTATAGTTATAAGTAATTAACTTGTAAATAGTGTGAACGGTAAATCTTTCTTTTTTCCCGAAATTATCAACAATTATGGAATGATTTTGGAGGTTGAAGAAATTGGCAGAGAAAAGGCAATAACATGAGGTAGCACTGTCTAACTTTTTACCTTCATAGAAAATGTTCACAAAGTTTGTCACATTTATAATTAGAAAACCACTTAGAGAGTGTAGACCTCTGCCAAGGAAGATCAACTCTCATTCATATCTATTAATTAGTTAGTTCAATTCCCATTGTAATTAATTGATGATTCATTAATTCAGTTCTCATTTTTAATCAATCAATCAATTAATTAATTAATCATCACCAAAATCTAGCCCATTTCTGATCTATCTTGAAAATTTTATGAAAATCTCAACTCTTAATATGCCACGTGAGTAACTTTGCAATTTGTAACAAAAGAGTATTTTTACTACTACATACTGTATATTATCCACCACACTGATAAAACCTTTTTAAAACATCTTTATCCTCCCATCCGTATGACCCGGGCGCTGTGAGGATGGCTTAGCTAGGGCAAATGTACACTAAAAACAACTTATTTCATTCACAGTTAAGTTTTTTATTGTGATCTTTGAAGTGTTCCTAGAAAGACTCCATCAACATTTCAAATTAGCATTAAATATTTTTCTTTCTAAGAAACTGAATCTGAATTGAGTGAAGTGCCGCCAGCTTTCTCGCAAATAAACCCCAATTCACCATAGCAGTAGAAGTCATCCCAGTAGTAGGAAAATTTCGTAAATAGATTAAGACAATGCTGGGTCACGGGATTATCTGGCTGTCCAGGATACCACCTTGTGTAGCTGATGATAGAACGACTGGTAGATTGCCACTCCCATCGTCCTCTGTGGACCATTAAACCACTAGTCCAGTAACCAAGCAGTTGAGAAGAGGCTGTAAAATAAGGACCACAGGTTATTCTTTGTTTCACCGGATACTTCGGTCTTGTAATTGTGTTTTTTTTAGTACGAACTGCTATCCACCATTAAACCAGTAGTTGGATTGTAAGGATTTTGAGATGTCGCAAAAATTCATTTAATTTACATTTAAACTTTGAACATATAGTCGTTTGAACAATGTGTTCTGAACATGCAAATAGAAAGAAATGATGTTTTAAACCACTACTGGATTTTATTCAGTTCTAAAGATCTCGTGTTTTCTTGTTGACCTTTACTTTTTTAAGGCTTCCAGGCTTACTTTATCATATATATGTTAATCAATTTTTGCGTGTAAAGATGTTGACACGTAGTGATTTCCGAAGAGTTAAATTTCGCAAAAATCAACCATAATTCAATTAAACTTTTTTTAACGCTACTGAACATGATGTTGCTCACGACTTGATAGTTTTTACTCAAAATACATGTACAATGTACTTAAAGATGACTCCGGCCAAAAGTCTTTGAGACCGACATACAAGTACAATGTAAGAGTTTATTCACAACCAGTTGAGCCCCGGACTAACTAGAAAGCATGTGCCGAAATGTGGTTGCTGGGACGGCGCGTGTGGGAGGCGGGGAATCCATGACATTATTGTGAGGTGATCATTGAGCGTCAACTTTGATTCACGGACTAGATAGACCGCGGCTCAAAAGGTTGTGAATGCTTTCTAAGTGCCTCTTACCAGACATGGACAGGATCTGGTTGTAGATGAAGTTGTCTTCTGCATAGGTTTCTATGGCAACAAGATCAGCACCCAATGTCCGGCATTCCCGTCTCGCTGCATCCCATGACTTCTTAATCGTGCCAAAGAAATAGCAATTCTTGTCAAACTGTATAAATCTGGAGTCACAGCTTCGACCACCTAGAAACAAAAGACAAGAGACAGTGAAAGAAGCTGAATTTACAAGAAAAATTTTAATTGAAAAACCAGTGAAATAATTAATATTATTTTTGAATTACTGCTTTAAAGCCTGCTTTTCCAAAAGGCATATAATTTTTTAAAGTAAGAAGCAGCGTAAAAGTGCTGGTGCCCTACTACTTCTGAACCTACACCGTAATCTTCGCCAGTTTAAAGTGATAATTTTATATTTTTCTTACCTCTCACACTTTGCGCAGCCAAAATCAGACCTACAATCAACAGCAAAACGTAATTCCCAGGCATCATATCTTTCTCCAGTAAACCCAAAACAGCCTGATTCTTGGTTTAATTCTTACGTTATTGCCAAGTGTCTTTGGCGAGTCTGTTGCAAGTGGATTGCTTTGAGTCAGTTTATAAGCGGTACCAGGGATATGTGTTCAATTATGACTGGCTACAAATATAGAATGACATACAAGTTGTTGACTTTGGAATAGAAATTTCTTAGATATCTGCAGCAATCTATCCCATTTCTTGATATACTTGGAAATTTTGTGAGAGATTGCCATCTAGGAATCAAATACCATTTGTTAAAGTTACTTGAATTATCGTAGTTCAAGTGTCAGGTTAGGTTGTTATTGTAAAAGTAACCATCCATATCTTCCATTGTACTGTAGAAATAAATGCATTTATATCATAACGACTCATCTTACAAGAGAATGATAAAATACCTAAGTCGAGTTTTAGGTGATCACGGCAGCCTTCTTTGCATTTTCCTTCTCTTTGGGAGTTTTTCTTCAAACTCAAATAAAATGCCCTATTACAGGGTGGCTAATGTAGGACAAGTAGGGGTGCCATGGCTCAAGAATTTCATGTCTTAACATGGAGCGGAGACCGAGAGTTTAGAACGCGTCCTGAAAGCTGTCACTTAGGGCGCATTCCCATATATTTTAGATCGATCTATCTCCGTGGGGAATTTCAATAGATTACTGTCAGATAATCCGGCTTAAATGTCCGTCCCACCTACTACAAGCTGTAAGGGGGTAATTAACTTCCGTGCGCGGTCGGCTGACTGCAATTTAGCGTGAACCCCCAGGGAGTTAGGTCGAACTAGTAAGATCGATCTAAATCTCTGGAAATGCCCTCTTAGACCCCATTCCCATACATTTTAGATCGATCTATCCCTGTGGGGAGTCTCACTAGATTACTGTCAGCTTAGCCGGCTTAAGCGTCTATCCCGCCAACTAAAAGCTGTAAGGGGGTAATTAACTATGGTGCACGCTCGGCTGACTGCAATATAGCGTGAACCCCCAGGGAGTTAGGTCGATCTAAATCTAAATCTCTGGGAATGCACCCTTACATTAATCTGCATAACCGGAGCCAGTGTAGTCAAATGGGGGTAGGTGCTGGTGATTTTGGAAAGCTCGTGATCGCAGTTTTTTATAGTATCAGTATAATTTATCAGTATAATTTATAATATAATTGATACATTTATTGTATTTATATTGACCAGTCACTTATATTCCCTTCTCCGGATTTAAGAGCAGTACATGTGATGTTATTCAACTATATACTCTAGATAATTCTGTCACTGTCCGGACTGAACTTTGTTTCTGCTGTAATTTTTGGGACACTTCAATCTAAACAGAGAAGCCACTTTTAAAGTACTCGAGGTTTCCTGGGTTTTAAAAGATTTTTCGTCAACTTTTCTGAAATTCTGCAGCAATACCCTCTCCAATGTTCTTCCGAGATAAAGGCATAGACGTAGGATTCATGGGAAATCCTGCCAAAATTTCTGAAGCTGATTTGGTTTTTTCATCCAGTCACCCCCTTTTTTATGCGTAATTGATTTCTATAAAATCTTGGTCACGTCATACTTTCGCATTCTTATCAATCATTCTGATTTTTGTTTCGATTACCTGGTTAATTAAAGTAAAAAAGTAAAATCTCATTTAAGAGATTAAACTGGTCAAGTATCAATCAACCTATATATTGCGTTTGTTACTTATGTCTTTTATGGCTCCCGCACTACTCCGGATGCTGGTGATATAAAGTTATCGAGTAATTTATCGGTTTTTTGTCGTGCTCTTTTACCTGTGGGATTTGCGCCAAGCCACACATACGACCGTAGTTATTAATCGCTTTTTTCTTTTTCCCCAAACCAGGTTAAATAATTCATGAAAGAAATATAAAAACGTCACAATATGGTGATCGATAATCTGGGACAAAAAACTTATTGATTTTGAATAATGATTGTTTGCAAAGGTAGGCTACTGGTACGCTTACGGTCACAATACCCTGTAGTGCGCACGCACCTGTCTATGCCCTGGATTACGATACAATAGGTGTTTACGGGGCGAAACAGGATGGTCTAGAATTTACTCCTGCCCCTAGCTGGCTTAATATGACAAGATGGCAAGAAGACGGGTCTCCTCCCTGATTACAGCGTCTGTGTTCGTAGCGGTGGTGTTGGCTGGGGTCGCGGAGATAGACGGAACCTTCCATGACAGAGGCTGTAAGTAAATGATGTCTTTTACTAGATTTATGTGATTTCTAGGGATGTCACTTTTTTTTAATAAAATGCGGTACTGGAGCGGATGGAATAGGGCTGACAAGTTGAATTTTCATTCAGCAATAAAGACACATGGAATCACTTTATTGATATCTTGTTTAGAAGCAGCCGTCAGGGTAGTGTCTTAACAACTACACCTTTACTGAGATTTTAAATCAAGCAGTACAAGCGAGTATAAGAGTTTAAGCGAAAAAGGCATGATGATCGCTGAAGCAGATCCTTGTTATAAATAACGACGCAATTGTAGGCCGAGTTTTAAAAAAGAGTTACAAAAGTATGGGTGAAAGAAAATCAGACGAAATACAATGAGCTACGACATACAGAGGGACTACTGCACATATTTCAGATTGGGATAGGCGCAATGGCTGTATAGCAAACATTTTAAAGAAAAACATTTGATGCAAAATCTGTTCTTATTTGTAGAGGGGAACCAGGAAGTAGATGTATAACTGAATGTCTCCTCTCCCTGGTACCTTAATTACGTTAAATAGGTCAATTTTCTCTGTCAATCTAAAGCAAGTTTTGATATTTACATGTAAATATGTCATGGTGAAAATATCAAAACTTAATTAGTTGTGATACATGTAGAACAATCCTATACAAACATACGCTTTGTATGTCGAAATGAGCCACACTGTATTAAAGTTGACCCGAAGAACGCCATTATGCGCAGCGTCTCGAATAAATTGGAAAAATAAATTGGAAAAGTTCTGATTGATGTTTAGGGCGAAGCGATCAATACGCGATCAAAATTCCCGTTTTTTTTTGTTTTTGTTTTCACGCCATGCACCTTCTTTCTCGTAATAAATTACTTTCCTTTTACCAGGGGCTGATGAATGAATGCTGTGACACTTTCTACTTATTGTCTGTATGAAATTAACTTCTTTAATAATCTAGAATTGAGAATAAAAGCATGCAGATAAAAATCAAGTATACGCAATAGAACACGGTATTTGTGAAAGATCCAAAATACAGACAACTTTTTATCGTTTTCCAAATTTCTCTTTCAAAGAAAAGTACCGAAGTAGATGTGTGTGTAATTTACGGCAAAACTGGTGAAATATTCACTCCGACTTTAACATATCATGCACGTAACAATACCACACCGCACACTGATCGAAACGGAACCTCATCAATAAGCATTTGTTTTCAAATGCGATAATGCCTTGAATTTATTAAAATATATGCCATAAAGGGAAATCAAATGCGTTAAACAATGCTAAATAATGCTAGATAAGTGTATGGGTCTAAGATATATAATTGAAAATATATTTCAGGTGCGAGATCATATCCCGCCAGGTTGTCGAGCACCTCCCAGAAGGCCTGTGTTGGACAAAAACTGGACATAAACTGCGCAGGCAGTGGCGGAGATATTATTCGCATCGACGCAGTGAATTTAAAGTCAAAATCTTCTTGTCCCGCCTATTTCCGTCCTCCACAGAGGAGATGGCGGTGGCATTACTACCGTTCCAAGTACGAGGCCACGCCCAACGTGACGAACCTTGCAGCTGGCATCTGTTCTGGACGCTCATCTTGTTCCCTGACGCTGCAATCCGATGACTTACCTGTCCGGTGCTATGACAATCAGAGACACAACCAGTTTGAAGTTGTTTACGCATGCGTGCCCAGTAAGTACGATAATTTGGTTCTTTTTCATAGCTGGTGTTCAGGTATTTCTTCAATCGACCTTCGAGGACCTGAATCGTCACGTAGACGAGGTCAAATTACCATCAGTTTGTTAAACCCAAATGGGTATTTCATTTATCAAATAGCTCACACGTTGTGATTAAACAGTATAGCAAAGGCAAATTGAACCCAATTAAATTTTTTAATTCAAATTAAATCTTAAATTAAAATTAAAATTGTTTTTTTTTTCATTACGTCTGTCCCGTACTGTTCATTAATATATGAGGGTTGTTTTAAAAGTATTATCAAAATAATCTCACCAATACAGAATTTAGGAGGCATTTCGATATAGACATTTGGGGTTCATTGGTCCGAAAAATGGTAACATTTTCATCGATTTTTTAATCAAGGGTTCATTGGTCCGAAGGTTCTATAGTGAATATTCGGACCAATGAACCTTCGGACTATTGAACCTTCGGACTATTGCTACGGACATTTGTTTGGTATGTAACTATAAAGCTGGTTCACCTGTAGTGTGTCAAACCTAGGGAAAACTGATTAANCGTCTCGATAGTCCGAAGGTTCATTCGTCCGAAGGTTCATTGGTCCGAAAAATGGTAACATTTTCATCGATTTTTTAATCAAGGGTTCATTGGTCCGAAGGTTCTATAGTGAATATTCGGACCAATGAACCTTCGGACTATTGAACCTTCGGACTATTGCTACGGACATTTGTTTGGTATGTAACTATAAAGCTGGTTTACCTGTAGTGTGTCAAACCTAGGGAAAACTGATTAAAATGACAACTGGGTGAACAATGATATTTCAGGGACAGCCATCGATGCCTGTTCCAATACCGCCCTGACTGTGCACAATGGGAGTGTCATCCTCACCTCCCCCCAGTACCCCCATCCCCAGGGGGACAGCCCAAAGACCTGCATATGTAGAATATCCTCAGAGGCCAGTCGCTGGACGGCTGTCCAAGCCTTCATCAAACACGTGGAATCGCCGGGCGACAGAGAGGACCGCTGTGTCACCTCCGACAGCCTGCTGCTTACCGAGCACGTTGACCCTACCCTGTACGGAGAACTCTCATCCTTGGCAACAACAACTACGTCTCCTTATGGCGAAGACGGCGACGACGATCATGATGATGATGATGATGACCATGATGACAATGACGAACATGATGATGACGACGATGACGATGACGATGATGATGATACCAGCGATGACGGCAGGCACTATCTGAGACGTAAAAGACACTCCAGTGGGAGACACGAACCCTTTCAAACCTCTTGGAATGTGTCCCTCACTTGCAAAAATTACACCAATTATTTTCTCAGCGAGTATGGCTACTACGTTGGTGTAGACTTTGTTACATTGACTTATACCAATAGAGGACAGAATGGACATCATAGTCGCTTCTGGCTTCGTTTTACTCCATTAACTTTTATCGGTAGGTATTTGTTCGGTGATCGAAAATATAAAGGAATGAAGCGCTTACAAGAAATCGACTGATGTTAAATATGCCATGCATGGGTTGTTGAAATCATAAAATAATATACACTTTATCAAATTCCTAAACTCAAAGTTATGACTTTTAAATGTTTATTGTGTGTTGTTATAATTGTTTCAATGTTATTCTCATTTTAGGTCATGCAACGCAATTGAGCGTAAATTGCCGTAATATCAAGGAAGGGCTATCAGCAACTCTATCCACCACCACTTCTTCACACATCCCTACCAACCCAACCACTACAACCACTACCACCACCACTACCACTTCAACCACCACCACTAAACCGACAACAACCACAACTACACCTACAACCACCACTACACCTACAACCACCACTACACCTACAACCACCATAACACCTACAACCACCACAACACCTACAACCACCACAACACCTACAACCACCACCACTACACCTACAACCACCACCACACCTACAACCACTACCACAACTACAACTACAACCACCACTACAACAACAACCACCACAACAACTACAACCACTACAACTACAACTACAACTACAACTACCACCACAACCAC